CAAAAAAACATGTGTTTCCTGTCCCAGAAAAGGGTGTCGCATTCATTCCAAATCAGCGCTTGCCAGGGCACGGCCAATCTCTCGCACTCTTTCGGAGAGGCGTCCTCACCGGTTTGCAACATGTGCAACAACCACCGTAAAAAGCAAAGCCCCGAAGCAGGCTGTGCATGCAGAAAGGTTGTCACAGTTCGGGGCCCTGGCCCCCAATTGCGGCACCAGGGTCCAGGCCAGATTTGCTTGACAACTCCTCTAGGGCCTCCGTTCGAGCTTGGCCCAACCTCCAACAGCGGTGAAAACCCGATGCCCCATGTGGTTTCCTTCTTGGGAATCCTGATCAACTAGTTAAGCCTAAAGTATTGACACCAAGGCAAAGGGTGTTTGCCGTGAAAGGGTGTCAGCTGTCGCATTTAACCCACGGACAATAGAAACAGTTGTAACCCAAGAGGACATGGCCCAAATACGAAAGCATATACTCCCTAAACCAAGGATAGCATGATTGTGGCACCTTCTCCTTTCTATGATGCAGTAGGTCATGCCCATAACTGACCGCTCTAAAGGGGATTTCCTTGGTATCGCTACTTCCCACAACCATGAACAGTACCCATAACGGTGTCAGTTTCAATTGTGAGTTGCTTCTATGAGCTTCAACTACTCCTGCAAAGCCAATTCGCAGTCTCTGGCACAGGCATCACGCTCTTGCGCTGCGCCCTCTATCAGGCCTCGGATGCATCTGGCTTCAGGCATGTCACTTTCATTTGACCGCCGTTGGTCATGTCCCCTGATGATTTCTTAATCCGTCCCAGCAAAAGACAACAAGCCAAACAAAAGGTTTGAGCTCGTCCAATTTCGTCCGACAACAATGCACTATGCTTCTTCCAAGAACACGGTCACCAAGCATCCAGTTCTCCCGTGCATGGTCGTGCAATGCAAAAGCTTCGCCGAGCTGCTTTGATGCAGAAGCGAATGCCCCGCAAGCACGGCTGCTGCCTAAGCATGACTCGGCGCGAGCTTCCGGCACAAATGTCACGCGCAAGCATCAGAAGCAGTCTGCACTTTGGGCACAACACGGTGATTTAGAGCTCAGAGGCATACCGCGTCAAATGTTCCACAGTTGTGCTCTTCAGAGAGGGACTTCTGGAGAACTTAGTGAACACGAACTAGACATGGGTCACAAGCAAATTGTAGACACAACCTCACATGGCGAATTGGGTGACCCGTTTTGCTGGGTTCAAACAAACGAGTTCCTTTCGGTTGCTACATGATTGTCCTTCAGCTCAAGTCCCCGCGAACGGCCGGCAATCAGCGCCTCCTTGTGCCTCTGCAGGTTTTGCCGCTGCAGCTCCAACTGCTCCTTCAGGAATGCACGGACTAAGCAAAGGACAGATTCCTGATGGTTCGTTCAAGTATGTAAGATATAATTATATATGTATTTATTGTTGTTATCATTAGTATTATTATTAGCATTTATTAGTATTGTTAATGGCACCATTCTTACCATTATCATCATTATTATTATCATACCCTTTCGTGAGGACTGGTCAATGAGTAGAAACAAGTTGAACCCACTGCCATCTATTCTCAACCAAGCTGACACAAAACGATAATCTAACATATTGTATGCACGAGTAATATTCGACATGGACTAAAAACTGTACTGGACATGATCATAATGGCTAATCACAATCACGCGGTGTTGCTCACACAAGGGTTCCTGGATGTTTCTAGAGGAAAACGCGTCGCACCAAATTGTGTTCCATGTCTTGGGTGGGAAGCCCTGCAACAGCAAGCACCAACATAGCAACCAAGGGACCTGTGTAGTTTGCTCAGTCCTATAGTATGACTAACTGAATAAGACTGAATATACTACTGTTTGATCATTATGGTGTTCATATGTGTTCATAATATATATATATATATTCGCTATCACAATTCTTTGTAGCAGCAACATTGCAGCGCTAAACATCGGTTTTGACAACTTTGGATGTTCTACTGTTCTACTGCAGAATCGTACTGTGCAATCAGTTCATGCATTTGATTGAGAGGTAACCAGGCAGAACTGTTGGATGCTCTCAGATCCAGCGAATAGCGAAGACTCCTTCCCGAATCTGGCCCAGCATGCAATTCAAAGCAGTAACTTGGCAGTCGAATCGGACAAAGCACTTTCGTGGAGTTCAAAACTGACGCTAGCTCCTGGGGGGCCCTTTAACCCGGCTCCGTTGACATGTTGTGCTGCGTTTTGGTTTCATGGGCTCTCCAACAAAAATGCCCACGTGGGCTTGCCAAGAACAAAACACGTGGCCGGCCATTCAGCTGTCCCCGAAAACCAGTGTTGTTTTTGTTTACTTGCGTCTGTTTCATCAACTAGACTTGGTTTAGTCGTACAACAGCCACCAAGACATTCCGAATTGGCCCCAAAAGGGCAAGTCATTCATTGACTCACGGTCCCGGACAAACGGCCAGGAGCCGGCAAGATTCGTAGAGGAAACTCCCTGTGTCTACTTAGCCGTGTGTGACGCAGGGGGCTCAAAGTTATGGACCACATTTTGGACCACATTCAAAGGCGGGTGGGTGTACCTCTTTTCGAGGCCATCCTGTTCAACTTGGGGTGCAAAAAAAGAGAGGAAAAACCGCTCTTTTCGCCTCGGGGCATTCAAATCCATTTTGACGTATGCCCAAATGAGCCCAGCGTCCAAAACGAGAATCAAGATCGGGTGCCTCCAAGCGGGCCGCTCGCCGCTGCACCTGGGCAAAAAGAGCTTTGCCCGTTTCTCTTAGGATCCAACCTATCGTTGAAACCCGTCCTGGATGTCTAAAAAGGGAAAAGACGGATAAGTTGAATTGAGCCACTGTTATAGGGTTCAATCCATATACTTGGACGCCCTATCAACATTCACAACAATAAGTGAACATCCCCAAATCACATGAAGCGTAAATCTTGATTCACCTGCGTGGCTGAAGGCAAAATAATTTCAGGAAAAGCTACAGTCAGTAGTCTTGGCTGACAGAGGCGTATCAATGCACAGGATGCCAAAGATAAGATAACCTGGTGCTTCCTATGTTCTGAAATGCGTACCAGCGGGACTTGATCACCATCCTACCAGTATGGCTTGCAAGCATTGCACTTTCAGAAAGTTACGCCGCTTCACGGAAGGTCGCGTTGCCAGTGGCTAAACTTCCAATCATACGCAATCGGCGATGTTTGTGATGCTTGAACACGCTCGGAATCTAGATGAACGCCAAAAGCCAGCAACATGAATTTCGGATTTCTCTTGCGCAGGTCAGGAGCAGTCTGCGAAACTGACCAGTAAGTATGACTACCTGCGCCCGGGTCAGACGTTGGTCTCAATCACTAGATGGCAGTCAAATGGCCCAAGTCATTAGCCCCCAGAAGGTCACTGAACAAACCATTTGATAGGCATTGGGTGTCTGAAAGTCTGAACAGTTTGTTGCTCGACAGCCTCAAAACGGATGCAAAGAAAGGTAAAGAGCACCGCCCATGCCCCCTCCTCCTCTGGAAGCGGGGAATCATCAACGCCCCTCCTTGGACAACTACGCGACGAGTTGCGATAGTGAGAATCCGCTCAAAACGTTGGGCCGTCTCAATTGGATGTTCAACCTACTTACTGAGAAGGGTGTCGGCATGGCTGTAAGTGGGACAACAGGGGTTGCATAAAAACCACAGTCATAGTTGTAGCCTACTAAGTATCCAAGGGTCTTTTTGTGAGGTCGCCTGATCCCCAAGTACAGCTAACCCTCCTTCCGTTTCGTTGAATATGTATTTGTTCAATCATGTAATTGTGTCTCTAGTCAGTAATTAACAGGCGCATAATTGACTCAAGTTGCAAACACCGAGGCAGTCTTACTTGAGTCATCAGCTGTCAAATAGAATTAGGGTGCCTGGGCAATAAACAACAACATGCTCTTTGGCAAATCAACCACTATGGCTATTTAGCACCCAGCTCAATTCAGTTGTTGGAACATGACGAACAACAAGTATTGCATCGTGCTCTGGATCTTATTGTCCCTTACATCGGCTATTTTTGATCCGCTCATCCTCCAAGTCATCCAACTGACCATCCGTTGGCTCTAAGATTGTCCTTGGCATCTAGTGTCACGGATTAAGTCCCCGCCAACAGTGGCGCGTTCGTTCCTTCTACATTGGGTTGCACCCCACTTGGCACCTAGTGTCACGGATTAAGTCCCCGCCAACAGTATCGTTCGTTCCTTCCAAATTAGGTTGCACCCCACTTGGCATCTAGTGACTGTCACGAATTAAGTCCCCGCCAATAAGTGGCGTTCGTTCCTTCTAAATTGGGTTGCACCCCACTTGGCATCTAGTGTCACGGATAAAGTCCCGCCAATAGTGGCGTTCGTTCCTTCTACATTGGGTTGCACCCCACTTGGCATCTACTGTCGCGGATTAAGTCCCCGCCCACAGTGGCATTCGTTCCTTCTAAATTGGGTTGCACCCCAGCCAGGCTGTGAATCAACGGAATGAATCAAAGGGCTCGCATCTGCCGAAACCGTTTGCTCTTCCCCTCGCTAAGGCCCTGGCTCTGTGCTCAGTCCCTGGCATCCCGTTTTGGGTGACCAATTCGGCTGAATGGATTCTGTAAAACGGGTTCCGAGCTATTCTTATCGTCCTCGAATGCAATGGCTGCCCCGGCTTGCTTGCAGTCTTCGACGAGTTGCTTGGAGGGCGTGAATCATCACTATGGCAAATAAGTCAGCATTGAAACAAGTCACGAAGGGGATCCTCATTCCATGCATCGGAGAATATCTCGAATCTTCGAAACCATCATCCCCGTTGCTGTCTGCCTGTTTTGCCTTCAAACTGGATGGCAAGGGCCAAAGATCGCACTTAAAACCTGGCGACTCAAAGTTGTCTTCCAAAAAAAGACATCAGCAATTGAAAGGGCGGTCAATTTGCTGCACCGTGGCCGGGAATGTCCCTCATTCTTGTTTACCCGGGTTTCGATTGTGGCTCAGACCTTGATGGCCCTCGGCCCTGGGAGTCTGGCAACTGTTTGCCGGCCGAAACTCGTCATCAACCATGTCAGGTTGTCAAGCTTGCTGCAAATCGCGGCCAGCCTAAGGACGAACTTCGGACGAAGCTTCCTCTTGCCGTCGGAGTCACTTGCAGTCTATTGCTGCAAGTCATCAAATCTCAGAACCTACGGGACAATTTACATGAAGTCAACAAGGCATCTAATCTGGTGCTTGACGGGCATTTGGCTACCGTCCTGTAGTTTCTAAGGCAGCTGATTTCTTAGTACAGTAAATATATTTGGTTCACGGCCGCAAGTTGCTATGCAAACCCAACTGCTGCTGTACGCAACTCAGACCACCGCATCTGCATCGACTCGCTGTTATCGCCGCCAACCTAGCGATATGTTCTTAGCTGGGTGTCACCATTCCCACCACATAGTCAATCAAGCGACACACATGAGATGTCAAAATACGTGGTTGCCTTGAAGGACATGCGGCAATACCGGCCTTTCGTGTTTAATTAAAAAGCTAGTAAGTGCCCCAATTTCCCTCCCCAATTCAAGGTAGACGGCAACCTCCCATGCCCTGAGAAACTCAAACTGAGTGCAGTTCAGCCTGCCCTAGCAAGCCAACCGGTCAAAGGTGTGTTGGGGGAGAGCATGTGCAAACGCACCGGACCTCCACGTTTCTCTGCAACATGTTCAGCACCGACTGCAAGGCGTCACGGTCTGAACTCGACCTACAGCCAAATGCCGCAGAATCTATCAGGCAAAACATTAGTGAAGGGTCCTTCAGCCATTTGTCAGTTTTATAGCTAGATTTACACATGCAACCATGTGGGGTACGACTCACATGTGTATATATATAATAAAATAGCACCCGTGCCTGCGAATTTGAGGTACCCTCGTAGGGCGGTTGGAAAGGGTACAGCATGACTCAGGGGCATGGCTCGCGGGGTTTGGTCATGGCTACGCTACATCTACGCAGGCGCAGTGGTTCAAGGTGTCGACATGACAAAATACATGCATATATAGCCATGGGTTAAAACCCCATACCCCCAGCGAACATACCAATCCCCACTAAAATGGGTTCTAAGATGGGAGGTGCACCGAAAACCCCAAAATGGTACCATGCACCATTGGTTTTAACCCGCGTCAATGAGCCACAGCTTCCAATTCACCATCCCAGGCCATGAGCGCCAATTCACAAGGCAATCACCGCGAAGCAGCCGCCTTGTAGCAGTCCTGAAGTGTGAGGATCCAAAATGGACCTTTCTTTGGACCGCCCTTCAAGGCGATATTTAAATGAAAGGATCTAAAGCACACATTCCTTAGCCCAAGTGCTAAGACCGGCACCGCGAGTCCTTTTCTGTACCTGGACGGTGCAGCAAAGGTGAAGCGAACATCTCCCAACGGGGAGAGGACGAGGAGTATGCGCACGGCACGAGCTTGAAAGCTGAGCCGTCGGTTTCGCGCACGCCCGCAACGTTCATCCCGGGGTTCTCATGAGGAATTTCTGGGGCCTACCAGCCGTCCTGCCCACAGCAGCAAGTGACGGCAAATCTTCTCTGTTGCTTCCCCGTCATCAGTTCACAAGCCACAGTTGACACGCAAGCAAACTGCTGAACCCTCTTTCAGATTTCCTCACATAGCAATGGGGCACATCCATTTGCCACCTATTTGGCTGTGGCTCAAAAAACCGGTACCAAAATGGGTTGCCCTGGTAAGTGGAAACATGGACCAAAACCTGCGGTTTGCCCCTCCGATCGTTTAATTTTGAGCCACACCCATTTGGATGTTCAGCAGCGGTTTCCCGGCTTGTGACCCACAGCCAAACTTGGCCTTTGGATGTTGAAAGGCAACCGCCAAATTAAAAACGGTCGCCCCACTTGGCTTAGCTTTTTCGAACCCCGATCTGCAGGCCTGCGGCATTCAGGGCCTCGGCCCAGCAACAAAAACCTTCAACCGTGGAGCTGATGGGCCAAAACGAGGTCCGAACATGGCCTTACCAAAACATGAACTCAACATGGCCTTCCCAAAAAACATGGCCTTCCCAAAAAAGTGGCCTTCCCAACATGGCTTTCGCAAAAAGTGACTCAAGTCATCTAAAGTCCATGAACTCAGGGAGTGAGTCAACCATCGAGCCCAAACAGCAATTGTGCACAGCCCGTTTCAATTGGACCACAAACTGCCCACCGAGACGATGCCTGCCAAATCAAGCTGCCAAGTCAAGCTGCCAAGCCGTTGCTTCGCATGAATGGGGCGCAAAGAACGTGGAACAACCGATTGGGCAAGCAACTGTTGTCCTGTGTCGTCACGGCTTCATCCATAGGTGTCCTTTCAGGACAAATAGATGGCCCTGGTAGATGATTAAACCAGCAGGTAAACCACAGCCATCTATGTTTCTACCAAAACAACCAAAAAGGACACCTATGGCTTCATCTTGCATGTTATGAAATACCCTAAAAAGCAAGCAAGTGTCAAGAACTCAAGGTGTCCAAGTCGTAAAGCACAAGCAAGGGCACAAGCAGGGATCCGAGTGGGGAGAAACGTTTGGAGACAAGAAGTGACAAGGTCAGAGTCAGCAAGCGCACGCAGGGAGACAGGTGGGGAGACAAGCCGGGAGACAAGCCGGGACAGGGTCCGAGACAAAGAGGGAGACAAGCCACGACAAGGGAGTCAGCAAGCACAAGCAGGGAGACAACGCAGAGACAAGCTCTGACAACGTCCGAGTCACCAATCGCAACCAAGACAAGCAGGGACACGCGGGAAACAAGCGGGACAAGTCGGGGACAAGCCGTGACAAGGTTCGAGTCCCAGCACAAGCAGGCTGACAAGTGGGGAGACAAGAATGCAAACAAGCCGTTAAAAGGTCACAAGATTCACCAAGCATCACCAGGTGCTAATTCAGCGAGAGACAAGTGGGAGGGGGACAGCAAAGGTATCAGGGGCAAACCATCTCGTTCCTACGAGCAGCTCTTTGCGTACAGCAGCTAGGATGTTTGGGAAATACTTGAGAATAAACCCTGGGTTTCTCTTTCCTGAGCAACATGTCTACCTGTCCGCCCATGGACAGAGTCCCTGGAAGATTGGTTTCCTCTTCAAGTGACCCATTGTTAGGAGCATGTTAGGAGGGTAAGCCTTTGTGGGTCCAATAGGAAAGCCTTTTGTTTCTATCAGGTGTCGGCAATTCGGTCAACAGACCGGCCACAAGTACCACAAGCGTGGCAAGTATCTCGCCAGTCGGCAAAGTCGGCACGCGCCTTTTCCATGCACAGCTACGGTATAGCGGGTATAGCGACTACATCCGGCTGTGGGAAACTCCGTCCGAACCCATCTTGCCTTGCAAACAAACAGCGCCAACGCCAGCAAGAGGGACTATCGCGACAGGAGCAAAAGACCGGATCTCTCTACAAAACATCTGTACAAGAAACTGAAACAGGCAACCGCTGCCGATGAGGAGTATCTGTATTTGCATGGGGTCCGAACTGTGTTGGTTCCATGTGGCTTCCATTTCAATCTTAGTCAACACTCCCTCCGCAGCAACTGCGTAAAACTTGATGCAGCGCCAACTTGATGCAACACCCTGACGGTGTAGCTGAGAATAGTGAATCTCCGCATGGGAGTCCCATGATCGTCACCCGCGATAGAACTAGGTCACAAGGGCAAGTGCCCCCGGGGTAAACAATCAGAAGCTGTTCAAACAGTGTCCACTGCCAAGATATGGCTGTGGGTCAAAACCAATGGTAGCATTTTGGGGTAGGTGCACCACCAATTTTAGTCTATTTTAGTGGGGATTGGGATGTTCACTGGGGGTACAGGATTTTGACCCATGTCCATATCAGCTTGCAAAGACTACACAGAGCAATCTCTGGTGTCGAGATTTGCCTCTCATTCTTCCGGGCCCGGCTTCTCCCTTTCCACTTCTCCGCGTTCCTTGGGGCGCCGAACCTCTGGCCGGAGTGGTTCCCAGCGGATGCTGCCACTCGGCAAACCTTTGGGCACCTCGAGGCAAAGAGCCTCCAAGGATCTGCCCAAAGGCCCCTCTTGCCGGGGCTTCCAACTCTCCATAGAGTCGAGGAACTGAGTTTGGGGTGGACGGGAATGCCGAAAGCCAAATGCTGCAGTTCAATCAATCCGGCTTGATTGCGCCAGGAGTTGAAGCGCCTTCCCAAAATAACAAATACTTGGATTGCTTCAAGCCATCCCCACACTGGCATGAAATAACTGTCTGGCGTACTGTTGTCCGGTTGGGCCACTATGCTCTCCCAGAAGCATTGCTTACACCCTTGTAAAATCTTGTATATACTTGATGTACGCGCTTTTGGCGCCCGAAATCCGAGCAGCGCAAGACCTTCAGAGGACCCCCCCCACCTTTGCACTACTTCGGACACCAACAGGCAACACACCATTTTTAGGGGTCCCCTACTTTTTCAGCAACCCCCACGCTACCCGCTGGGAACATTGGCTCGCCCGATGTCACTTAGAACGCGCACATCTGGAGAACCTCTTCGGCTCGAAGCGACCCCAAGAACCCACAACGATCACATGCCAAAAGGTCAAAAGCCAAAAGGACCTAGTCTCATCTTGGGGTGCCAAACTGTTTTGACAAAGGGGTCAAACAGGTCTCCAGCAAAAGTCAAAAGGACCTGGTCTCATCTTGGGGTGCCAAACTGTTTTGACAAAGGGGTCAAACAGGTCTCCAGCAAGAGTCAACCACTTGTTCCACCAGCTTCATGTGCGGAAGTTTCAAGTCATGGATTGCACACTGGGGCGCCCTGCACTAGCGCCCCATGCCTGCCTGCGTCACAAAGAAGCAAACGTCATTCACAGCCTTTGATCCCCAGATTCAGCGAGGCAAATCCCACCTTTTTTTTCACGAACTCCTCCGAACAGCTCAAGATATGGGCAGGTTACTGTGGTGTTCTTTCTTTTAAGCTGCGGCCAAACGCTTTCTGTCGCAAGCTTTCTGTTTGTGCGCCTGGAGCGCAAACCATCCTTGAGGCTCCTCAGGCAAGCGTCGTGCGCAAACATAGTCTTCCACATGTTGGCGTCTCTCCAAAACTGCTGGTTCGCCTATGTTTTTTTTTTGACTCCCTTTGGAACCAGCCAAAGGGGGTCCTCCAACAAACACGCACCCGACACGCGACAGTCGTGCTGCAAGCACAAAGCACAGTTGGTGTGAACTGAGATTTGGGCCTTTGGATGGTCTAAGGAAAGCACAACCAACATTGGCGCCCCGTAGGAAGCGCAGAAAGCAGTGGGACACTCATTGCCAAGTTCTGGGAGAAAAGCCGTTCAGCACCTTCAGCACAGGGCCACAGGCAAAATTACTTGGTTCCGCACTAGGACATGGGAAGTTTAGACTTCGCCCCCGGCTGTTGTGATAGAGATTTTGACCTCCTGTCTCGCCAAAGTCACAGTTTCTTGACGGATACATCTGAACATCAGATGCTTTACAAGAGCATCCTGTAAATCAACTGGTAAAGGTGCTCTTTTGACTGTATCCTATAAGATCAACCATAGACTGTTGCTAATTTCGACGGAACGAACCTCAGGCCGCAGCTTCTCTGGGTCTAGCAGGCCCTGCCAAGGCGTTTGCCACTGAACTTGCCGGTTCGATACCTGTGGAATGAGGCAGCAACCTCTACATCCCATCCCCCAGTTTTTTTTGCTAGAAATTCCCTTCCGGTGCATAAAACAAGGCGATTCCCGAGAACCAAGTGACATCTTTGCAAGTTCAACGTCCACAGGGAGTGAGCTTCGTTTTGGGATGGCCAACAGGCTTCCGTGCGTACCAAAACGCCTCAGACCATGAGCCGCAATAGACCGGCATGAGCTAAATCGCAATTTGGTACGCTGACCATAGACCAGGTGGTTCATCAGCTTTTGACTTCCTTTCCAGGAAAATCAACAGAGACGTGCTATTTACCCCAGTACTCGTCTCATTGTACCAGAAGAGTCACCCCCCAAGTGGTACATTTAAGGGAACCAAGTTCAATTGCTGACTGTGATGCCCCGTTTGTAGTCGACCAGTTGAGAACCCCCCCCCCACAAAAAACCCGTCAACTCAGGCCGGACATGTCACATGGATGCGCAAAAGGATCCCCGAAGCGTGGCAACTGCGCCAAAGAGCGGCAGAGCGCCGCAAGCCTCGTCGCATGAACATTTGTGCCGGTTGCTCGTGGACTCGTGGCTTTGGACTATATTGGAGCCCTGGTTGATGAGTGCCACCTTTTAAGTGGAGATTCCTCACTTTTGGAGGGATTAGCTCGCGGGTCAATTCATTCGCGGGTTCCAAAAGTGGCATTGGTGGCTTCACATTTGACCTCTCTAGAGCCACCAATCCAAACAACTGGGACGACGAAACAGGGGATAACAACCCCATGCAGGTTTTGGCCCGAAAGGGCATAAGGGTTTGGTTCCCAAAATAGAATCCACTACTCCTGTGCAGATTCACGTGAAATGCCAAACAATGTGGGCTGGGGGGGAGGGTCCCAAAAGGAGGTTCCGCTAAAAGTCGTTGGTTGGGGGGTTCCATGTTGGTCTGGGGAGTAAGGCGTCCTTCCAAGCCCCAAGCCTGTGGCTTCTCTGATGGGTAGCCACTTGTTTTCCCCTTGAGGACGTTGGAAGATTGGGTGGTCCGACGTTGTCTGGCAACCAGAAATGATGTGTTGTCAAGACTACTTTCAGGGGCTTCCCTTTAAGCAATCATTGGGAGGGTCATCTGAGGATGTCACTTGAATGGACTCACAGAAAGGGAGACCCCCAAACATTATTCTGAGAAGTGCATAAAAGGCTGCCGCCATGGGCCAAATGGCCTTGGTGGTTTCTCCCCGCAGACCAACATGGAACCCCCAGCCACCTGTGGGTACGAAGGCATTTTCGGCCAAGGCTCGAATCTAGACCGCGCGCAAACCCCGCCAGTGCTGACCAACAGGGCCTCTCGGGCGCTGGTGCTGGTGCTAAATGGAGCTGAGGCCAACACCTCTCCACTTGCGGGGAATCCTCATCCTGGCGACGCTGGAATCGTCCAGCCGCAACCCGACGGTTCACGGTTAGACTACCATGTGGGGATGTCAACCCCTGACCAAAAAAAGGCAAAAAACATTCACCATGGGACGCCAGGTTGTTTAACATGTCATCCCAGCAACACACATTCCGGGCATTTGGAGTGGGTATGTCTTTGTCCTCTCGACCAAACTCTTCCGGACACGTCATCGTCCATCAGCCTTGCACTCGCGCCCTTCGAATGCGACCCCTGCCTGTAGGTCCTGTTGCAGAAGCTTCAGGGCAGACAGCAAGTGCTCGCGCCCCGAAGCCTTCCTGACTCTGGAGACTCTGCATCTCTCCCCGGGGTCCACGAGTACCACGGGGAAACACCCACACAGACGCCTGCCTCCATGGACTGAGTGCCTTGATTTATTCTCCAACTATAGCCCTTCAGAGTCTTCCCAGATCTGGGACACACATTCATTGAGCTACTGAGTTGACTGGCCATAACTATCGGGGGGCTTTACTCCAATGAAGACAGCCAAGAAATGTTTCAAGCTTGCCAACTCAGGTAGGCTTCCCCAATGGTACCAAAGTGGGTTTGACGCCGCACCGATTTCTGGTGACTCCCCACTCGATTGCACTCATCTTGCCTCTGGGCTCCTTGGCCTGTCAGGCGCGCTTCAAATCCCTGCCTTGTCATACCCCCTTGCCCAAGGGGATTCTGGAGCGTTGATTCCTTTTCCATTCTTTGAAACCATCGTTCTTTTCAAAAACCGGCGGTTTTTTTCTGGGTTTCTGATGGTTTCCTGAAAAGAGGGACCCAAGAATGGGGAGGTACCCCTATAGAGGTATGGGTAACTTCAAGGCAGACCCTCAAAGAACCTATGTTAGATCCCGCTCAGGCTGTGTTTCTGGTGTCGCTTCCCCGAAAGCGATTCCTGGCTTGGTTCAGTCGCCGAACTGGACTCCGGCCAGGGGATCTACCGGAAATTATCCCCAAAGAATACAATCGCCGGATCGCACTTGCGGAAGCCTCTCGGCCCACGGCTAACGCCCACGCTCACAATGGAATGTGAATGAATCCAGCGAACGCGGTTCGAGGCCTTGGCATGATTTTGTCCAAAGACCCCAAAACATACTGCACATCTCTGATACCTGCAACGCACTCAGTAAGATTCAAGAAATTCCATTTCCCACAACCAAGGGCCTGCATTGCAATCACTCGGGGATTCCTCTCTCAAGCGTATTGATCCAAATTCGCAAATATGCGCTTGAGCTCACTTGGTTGCAATTCACATGCCATACGGTAGCAGTCCTCATGTTCAAAGGCAAACGTCTTGTCCGTTCCCCAAAACTTGTCGGTGTCAAGGAATGCCCCAATACTGTATAAATCAATCGTGCAGCTCACAATATGCCTGGTATGTGTTGGTAATTGTCACTTCGTCTTGAACACAAGCCTAAATAGCAATCGTTCTGAATGAGGTCCCTTCATCTGAAAAATCACGGCCAACCGCAATACCACCGTCCGGCAAGGCCCGGTGGCCCAGTTCGTTTCCGCCCTTTGCTGATGCGAAGTTCCGACAAAAGGGATGCCGTGAGCAACACCACGCCAACGAGGCACGCAAAGCAACACACAGTTCAAGAGAGTGCCTCGCTGAAAGGAAACGGCTGGCACAGAAGAATACGTATGCACAAGCTCATGTGATTGCCATGTTTGTGCAACAGATACATTCATGTTGTATCATATTCACTAGATCTTCCTAAGTCTGACTTTTCCCGCCATTTCGTGGAAAGCTTTCTGTTTCTTGGGAAGGTCATCATATTTTTGCCCTGGGGTGATTTTCCTGAATCTTGACAGTTTGGCTGTATGCAACAAACTGGCGGAGGCGTTTTCCGGCACGCGTCCTAGAGGCGTTGTTTGAAGGGAGGGGCATTGTTGGTTGGAATCGACTGATATTTCTGTAGTTTCGGCAAAAGGCGGAAATTATCCACTCCTGGACTACATATATATACATATATATATATATATGTACATATGTATGTATATATATATACATATATGTGATCCAGGTCCGCGTGAGGCGTTTTCAACAGGGTGGTTGGAGGGGAAGGGCCTGCAGACCAGGATCGAGTCGGTAAGCCCACAATGAACTCATTCAGGCTGTTAAAAAATGCCAGCCTTGAGGAACCTATCGATTCCGCAAGAATCCTGGATTCTTCCGAAGATTAATACTTGGAACTCTTCAGGGGTCCATGCGATCGTCAGCTTCCCTGATGGAAAGGCGACAATTCGCCTGGAATTAAAGACACCCCGGGAGAAACTTGATGGGCCCAAATAGAAAGCCCAATCCCCAAACCCCCAGCCACCGCTTCAATCCACCAACTAGGACTCCCCAGTGCCATGGGCACTACCCTCACCAATTAGCATGTAACCTGACGTTCGGGGGTGTAAAAGGAAAATTTTCCTGGAAAGGACCTTGGTGTCAGGTTCTATGCTGATTGGTGGGAGGGTAAGTCTATTTTGCGACCAACCCCAAGAAACCCACCCACCCCGTCTGGCAAGTCGAGCCTTGGCCTTGGTCCTGACGTGCAGGTCGCAAGCGCAAGCCGCCCAAGTGCAAATGCGAACTCTCCCCGTTGCGTGGAACCTGCCTTTTGAGGTACTCCTGTAAGTAGCTGAAGTCAAAATGCGACTGAGAAGTCGTATAGTTCTGCTTTGGGATCCAGTCCACATGTCTGTGGACATCTTTGATTAGCCTACTTAAACATTGGCAGAATCCGCCGAACAACCTCCTGTGTCAAGAGAATCGCCGGAGCACCCCTAGAAGAGGTAGTCCTCCACTCAGCTGAGAACATGCACGTGCTGGATTGTAGATGGATTTTGTGCGTCTCACCTTGCTACTTTCGCAGGTGTATTAATGTGTATATATATATATATATTGTGAGTATACACATGTACACTCAATCACATGATATATGTCCACATTATGGGTGTCTCCCAAAATGGTGCACCCTCAGAAACTTCTTAACAGCGGTTGGTGGCGTACTGCAATACCTGCCGATTTCTGTGTCATAGACCTTGTGGGGAGCCCTTTCAGGCCCGCCGAGATTTTGTATTCCCTCGGAGTCAGGCCATGTCCCAGAAACGGATTCGGCAAAAGAGCGCCTTTGGGGTTGTTTCCAGAGTGCCCAAAGGAACCCCGATCGGCGAGCTTGGTACAACCAGTGGCCATGAGAAAACGGGGGACACCGCTTGCAATTAGTTGTCGCGTCTTGCTCAGCACCATGAAGAGAAGACCCCTCCAAAAGGACAACACGGGTCACCACTGGAGAATACTGTTCTGGGAGCCTTGGCCCAACCCCACGGAAAAGTCAGATGTTCAGATTCTGTTTCATATCACCCTAGGATCATGTGGGAAGTTCTCCAAATACGGGTCCCCTGAAACTTTCTGGTTCTCAGAAGAGAATGACACCTATAAACCATCCCCTGTGGATTCCTTTCAGGGAATCCCCAGGTTCATTTCCAAAACCCTGGGTCATTCCCTACTGAGCACCAGCACTGCTACTCAAAGGGGCTCGGCTTTTCAGAGAGCTGGGTCTCCCGGCACCCCAGCCCCAGGCACTGGCGCGATTGAAAGATGGAAACGAGGGAAACAGTGCCTACGTATATCTCTGCGTGTGTGTGTGTGTGTTTGTGTACAAACATATATACGTAGTAAAACGCCATGTTCCCCCCCTAAGGGTTACATTTATGTATATAGTATGTGTAGTATGTAGTATGTATACATGAAACAAAATATGATATAATACATTACAATATAAGATAATGCAATGTAATATAAGATAACACGCACACACAACACAATGAAACAAGCTATAATATCATACAATACAATAACACAATATACTCTGACATGATATAATCTGACATAGTATATATATATATATATGGGTAGCGGAAACCATACATCCATGAAGTCATGGCCAGCCTTTGGCTCTCCGGTTGGCTGGTTTGCAATGGCTTGCACGAAAACCAAGCCGCAAGTGGTGGAAATTCACCCAGCCATCAACCAATGGGTGTCATAGCAAAAGCATCATGTTGACCCCATACTAAAAATGGTGCGGGTTTATTTCAGAAGCCGAAAAGCCAAGAAGCCGAGAAGCCAAGAAGCCAAGAAGCCAAAAAACAAAGCCTAAAAAAAACAACTCCTGTTAATAAACCCCTGTTCATGAATATGGGGGGGTGTTTTTCCCTGGCTTTAGTGGGCCATCATCACTATTGGAGGGGAGCACCCCCTAAGTAAACTAGGGTTGATTTATATGGGGTCAACCCTGTGATGTCCTGCACCGCCCTTTTTGCAAAACGTGGTCGCGTGTTGTAGCACGCATGGGGCACCCTTTTTTTGGTTGGTTGAGTTTTTCAAGGGGAGCCCTTGGGCAACAGAGTGGCCTTTCCAGGAACGGGGGGACATGTAGGGAGGGCAAAAGTCTCAAGTGAGCCGCTCCATCCAGGCCTCTGCCGCTCGGCGCCATAGTCTGCCTCAAGCTGCCGCCCCCCACTCACCATACTCACCCCTCCTTGGGGCCAGGACCATGTCTAGCAACTCAAGCGAGGGATAAACCTAGTGCCAATTGACCACTGGGAAGAGAGAGAGAGAGAAACAGGTGAAGAAGAAATACAACGAACATACGGCCGCGTTGAGGTCAAGTTCTTTGGCAAACAATATGCAACAACGGGTTCCCTCATCTTTCCCCCAAAAAAGACCTTCCCTCCACGCCGTCATGAAATACCGGCGCCTGCCTCCAATTCGTCCGAAAAGATCTCCTGCGGACTGCGCTTGGGATGTCCGGTTTTGGGTTGGGCTCAGTTTTGTGTCCCCAAGTTGGAAGCAAGTTTTGGGTCTTTGGGGGTTCACTTGTGTGTCCCCAAGGGCACACAAGCCCCTTGAAGAGAGGAAAACCTCAAACAAATCCCCTGCAAGGGAAGTCGGCCAAAATGAGCCGAGCCATGCTAGCATGTTCAGGTTCCACTCTGTGGTTGCACGTTGCACGCGATTGTCTCCAAGGGCGGACCCGACTGGTGCCGTTTCCCTGCAACTCCGAAGAGGTATCCTCCAACAAAAAGAATCGACGATTCGTTTTGAGTGCACCATCTGAAGCTCACAGAGTTGCAAGCAGCAAGCTGGATATGAATTTGCCCCTGCCACACAGGAACCGGATCACATTCAGCTGTGAAAGGTTTTGCTTCTCATGATTTCTCCAAAGACAAACACCAGCACTTGAATTGAGCAGTCCAAACACGGACACCCCGTCTGGCATGTGAGTCTTTTTACTCTGAGCTCTTGCGCGCTGCATCTGAGCCCAGTTGTGCGGCTTCGTTTCTCCTCAGTCATGCAAGCCAGAATCAAAACCTGGGCTTCAGGCGGCTTACCCAAAACCCATGGGCGGCCATGCATTGGGGCGCAAGTTCCCCAATCAACTACCCGAAACGGTTTGCTTAGCTTGCTTGGAGCTCATGCTGGCAATTCGGCAAAACAAAAACCATGATGCGAGCCAAGGCTCATGGCAGCCCAGGCGTCCTGAAATTGCAGTAGGACAAAAAGCCAAGCTCCCTCATGCCTTCCAGGTGCGCAGCGGGTTCCTCTGAGGAATGTGGTTTTTGGGATTCCACTGTGGGGTGTTCCCTCTCAGGGAAGCCCTGTTTGGGTTTCATGCGGTGCCCTCCAACAGACATAGCATCTGTGAAAGGGTACCTGGAAGATCAATTTCCCTGGAAGGGATCGCGTGTCACCATTGAATTTTCAATGGAGTAAGCGCAAGAGGGGAGCCCCACAAAAAGCCCCCCGCCCCACCCCTCCAACAAAACCAACAACACACAAGAGGGGAGCCCCACACAAAGCCTCCCACCCACCCGGCCCTCACCCCCCCGAGAAAAAAAAGAAGCAACAACAAAAAGAGCTCGTCTTGTAACTTTTGCGCTCCTTGGCCGTTCGCTCCAGCTGGTCGGCGGTTGCCTCCAGCCCAAACAGCGCGAAGGCTGGGCGCACCGTGTTGCGCCAAGTCAGCTGTTGGAGAAGCACTATGCCTCACTGCTTGTGTCTTTTCTCGGGTGATGTCAATCACCGAAGAGGGACACATGTTGCTTTAACATATATGTTGCACTCCCCACACATGACAAAATATCCTGGAATCCCAAAAGCAACATTTTCTGGAAACGCGCTCGAGATACTTCACTGAAGGGGAGCAAACCACCACACCCTGCCTACCTCGGGCTTCCAAAAGGAGTTGATTCTTGCTGAACCAGGATGGGAACTAGAGTTGGTTGCACAACTTGCTTCAACCAGACCCAATTAGTCCCCTTAGGGAACACAAACGGGGCCACCGTGCTTTTGAAAGCACATAAAGAGGCAATATCCGCCGACCCCTTCTCCTCAAAGGGGGAGGCGTACGGAAAGGGCGGTTACAAGTCCAAGGCTGGCTGGTAAATGAGCATAACCGAAGATTCAACATCATCATCATCATCATCATCATCATCATCGGCGTGGCGGTCGTCGCCGCTGTCCTTATCTTGATTATCATGATGACTGCTGGTGATGCTGAGGATGCGTCATGATGATTATCATGTCAGTTCATCATCATCATCATCATCATCATCATCATCATCATCATCGGTGCTCATCATCATCAGCTTCTTCGTCATCGTCCTTATCTTTTTTATATACGTTTCAAGTGTCCCGTTAGACCCGATTCGAGATGCAGAAGATGCGCGGACATGATTATCATGATGACTGCTGGTGATGCTGAGGATGCGTCATGATGATTATCATGTCAGTTCATCATCATCATCATCAGCATCATCATCACGGTGCTCATCATCATCATCATCTTCTTCGTCATCGTCCTTATCTTCCTTATTTTTTATTTATATACGTTTCAAGTGTCCCGTTAGACCCGATTTGAGATGCAGAAGATGCGTGGACATGATTATCATGATGACTGCTGGTGATGCTGAGGATGCGTCATCATGATTATCATGTCAGTTCATTTCATCATCATCATCATCAGCATCATCACGGTGCTTATCATCATCATCTTCTTCGTCATCGTCCTTATCTCTTTTTATTTATTATTATATACGTTTGAAGTGTCCCTGTTAGACCCATTTGAGATGCAGAAGATGCGCGGACATGATTATCATGATGACTGCTGGTGATGCTGAGGATGCGTCATGATGATTATCATGTCAGTTCATCATCATCATAATCAGCATCATCATCACGGTGCTCATCATCAGCATCTTCTTCGTCATCGTCCTTATCTTTTTTTATATACGTTTCAAGTGTCCCGTTAGACCCGACTTGAGATGCAGAAGATGCGTGGGCATGATTATCATGATGACTGCTGGTGATGCTGAGGATGCGTCATGATGATTATCATGTCAGTTCATCATCATCATCATCATCAGCATCATCACGGTGCTTATCATCATCATCTTCTTCGTCATCGTCCTTATCTTTTTTTATACGTTTCAAGTGTCCCGTTAGACCCGATTTGAGATGCAGAAGATGCGCGGACATGATTATCATGATGACTGCTGGTGATGCTGAGGATGCGTCATGATGATTATCATGTCAGTTGGTGTTCATCATCATCATCTTCTTCGTCATCGTCCTTGTCTCTTTTCATATACGTTTCAAGTGTCCCATTAGACCCGATTTGAGATGCAGCAGATGCGTGGACATGATTATCATGATGACTGCTGGTGATGGTGAGGATGCGTCATGATGATTCTCATGTCAATTCATCATCATCATCAGCATCATCACGGTGCTTATCATCATCATCTTCTTCGTCATCGTCCTTACCTTGTTTTTTAAACGTTTCAAGTGCCCCGTTAGACCCGATTTGAGATGCAGAAGATGCGCGGACATGATTATCATGATGACTGCTGGTGATGCTGAGGATGCGTCATGATGATTATCATGTCAGTTGGTGTTCATCATCATCATCTTCTTCGTCATCGTCCTTATCTTTTTTTATATACGATTCAAGTGTCCCGTTAGACCCGATTTGAGATGCAGCAGATGCGTGGACATGATTATCATGATGACATGCTGAGGATGCGTCATCATGATTATCATGTCAGTTCATCATCATCATCAGCATCATCACGGTGCTTATCATCATCATCTTCTTCGTCATCGTCCTTATCTCTTTTTATTTACGTTTCAAGTGTCCCGTTAGACCCGATTTGAGATGCAGAAGATGCGCGGACATGATTATCATGATGACTGCTGGTGATGCTGAGGATGCGTCATGATGATTATCATGTCAGTTGGTGTTCATCATCATCATCTTCTTCGTCATCGTCCTTATCATTTTTTATATACGTTTCAAGTGTCCCGTTAGACCCGATTTGAGATGCAGAAGATGCGTGGACATGCTTATCATGATGACTGCTGGTGATGCCGAGGATGCGTCATGACGATTATCATGTCATCTGGTTTTCATCATCATCATCATCACGGTGCTCATCATCATCAGCTTCTTCGTCATCGTCCTCATCTTATTTTTTATATACGTTTCAAGTGTCCCGTTAGACCCAATTTGAGATGCAGAAGATGCGCGGACATGATTATCATGATGACTGCTAGTGATGCTGAGGATGCGTCATGAATATTATCATGTCAGTTCATCATCATCATAATCAGCATCATCATCACAGTGCTCATCATCATCATCTTCTTCGTCATCCTCCTCATCTTATTTTTTATATACGTTTCAAGTGTCCCGTTAGACCCAATTTGAGATGCAGAAGATGCGTGGACATGATTATCATGATGACTGCTGGTGATGCTGAGGGTGCGTCATCATGATTATCATGTCAGTTCATCATCATCATCATCATCAGCATCATCACGGTGCTTATCATCATCATCTTCTTCGTCATCGTCCTTATCTCTTTTTATTTATTATTTATATACGTTTCAAGTGTCCCGTTAGACCCGATTTGAGATGCAGAAGATGCGCGGACATGATTATCATGATGACTGCTGGTGATGCTGAGGATGCGTCATGATGATTATCATGTCAGTTGGTGCTCATCATCATCAGCTTCTTCGTCATCGTCCTCATCCTATTTTTTTTATACGTTTCAAGTGTCCCGTTAGACCCGATTTGAGATGCAGAAGATGCGCGGACATGATTATCATGATGACTGCTGGTGATGCTGAGGATGCGTCATGATGATTATCATGTCAGTTCATCATCATCATAATCAGCATCATCATCACGGTGCTCATCATCAGCATCTTCTTCGTCATCGTCCTTATCTTTTTTTATATACGTTTCAAGTGTCCCGTTAGACCCGACTTGAGATGCAGAAGATGCGTGGGCATGATTATCATGATGACTGCTGGTGATGCTGAGGATGCGTCATGATGATTACCATGTCAGTTCATCATCATCATCATCAGCATCATCACGGTGCTTATCATCATCATCTTCTTCCTTATCTTTTTTATATTCGTTTCAAGTGTCCTGTTAGACCCGAGTTGAGATGCAGAAGATGCGCGGACATGATTATCATGATGACTGCTGGTGATGCTGAGGATGCGTCATGATGGTTATCATGTGAGTTGGTGTTCATCATCATCATCTTCTTCGTCATCGTCCTTGTCTCTTTTCATATACGTTTCAAGTGTCCCATTAGACCCGATTTGAGATGCAGCAGATGCGTGGACATGATTATCATGATGACTGCTGGTGATGGTGAGGATGCGTCATGATGATTCTCATGTCAATTCATCATCATCATCATCAGCA